AATATAAGTTAGCGTGAGTCACAAAAGTAAAGCATCTTGACATTCATTTGTGAAGACTAAGGTAGACCAAGAGCATTGTGAATCGACACAGTTGGAAAGGAGAATAAGAAGAAGGGAGATAGGAAGAGCAGAGGATGGGGGGTGGGATAATACTGGAGGATGAGTGACAGCAGCAGAGGAGTAGCCCAGGAGGAGGAGGATTGTGGAGTACCGTGAAGTGTGACACACAATAACTTTAACAAATATATTTTCTTTCAGTTTCTAAAACTTTTTTATCTATACTAACTTGTGTTCGGAGGTAAGCGTTGACTTTACACCTCAGCTGACCACCGATTAATTGTCTGGTTTGTATGTTTAGGGAGGTGGGGGAGGGATGGACCCAGCGAATTTGCCTTTTAGAAATTTCGAGGCCGTCAGTCTGTGTGGCCTATAAGTGGAGTGGACTGTCAACATCACGCGACTGTAGATACATTCTCTCGTGATCTTATGCAAGGTGAAATACATATGAGCAACATGTGAGCACATATGCCGAAGAGAGCTCATCCCTGAATTAATAGATAAGTAAATAAATATAAAGTATAAAAGCAAAATTTTAAATAATTTGTCTTTTTTTTTCAGATTTTGGTGCTCCTCCGTGAAGCCACTCACAGTCACCGTCGCACTGGGACTTGTTCTCATCTGCTGCAAGATTCAGCAGGCCGTCGTCTGCCTCAGGGTAATTCAATTCAGGAATGTCTTCCGTCAAACTAAGCTTCCAGTGCTCAGCGACCTATGGCGAGATAGTCTGTAACCAGCTGAAGAAATGCTGTTTCCGCCACTCGGTAATCTATTTACAGTGAAGAGGAAGCTTGAAACATTAGTAGAATATCATCCGAGGGGCTCTTGTGTTAGCTCACCTGGAAAAGAGAAGTTGGGGATACTGTACTTGTACAAACACCTCTCTTTAGCTTCATCTATAGGCCTTGCGGCACCTCAGGAACAGTATGGATCCAAAACGCTGAATACTAAGCACTTCAGGTAAACGAGCAGGCAATGTCGTCGTCACTGCATTCCACAGCCTTCACTTTCCCAACTGTAAAGTTAGGTTCCAATTCACAGTTGGGTGGACTTTGGGGGGCGGGGGGGGGGAGGGGTCACTGACTGAAATAAGTGCCCATTAAGATAGGCGGTGAGAGCTAAATCCACTCGGCCGCCGCTATTGCTATAAGTATCAACAGAAACACTACAGAACCATTCAAATTAAAAGTAAAAAGAAGGGGGGGGGAGATAAACTAGACCAGACAACGAAGAATCCTAAGGAAGAGCCACTCAACTTCCTCCCTCGTAAAGGATCGACCAGCATGAGCAACAAACGCCTTCCCGGAGGACAAAACACAGGAAATTCTGAACACGGCCAGACTGAGTCAAGTGGAAGACACTCTCACTGTCGTGTAAATTAACTGCACCTCTGATTTTTGGGGCGTGGGCCACCTGTTGCGATGGGCCGGATTCCTATCAAGGGTTTCTTTCCTCTCTTCTTGATGTTGATGTATTTTGTCCCTGTTTCTTCCTCTCACTGTCACGTGGGGGACGTGATGGATGCTGGGCTATTTCTGTGCGTGAGGAGCATCTTGGTTTTTTGAAGGAGAGAAATTCTTACGATGGAGGCAAATGTTTGAGAGAGGAATTATTTTTGCTAGAAGGAAATTTCTCTGGTGGAAGTAGACTTTTCTGTGGAAAGGAGATTGTTTTACCTTTCTGTGAAGAGAGATTTAGCTGAGTCAGACAGCTATACTTAATGAAGTTAAGCTTTAGTTGGTACAGGAACTTTTTGGGTGATATAAGAACTGACAATGAATTGGTCCAGAGAAATGTCGTTAACCAGGAAATGATCTATTGAGACACGGAGATACGAGTATATAGTTACGAGGGGCGGTCAAAAGTTGTGCGATTCCGGGGCAATAACAAGGCTCTGTTTCTCCGGTGATGTAAGACTGAATGATTGGATAATTATGTCACTTCATTTGACTAAAATTATACAATTTATTATTTCCAAGTGAGAGTTTAAAGCCTGTCACCTGAGAATATTGTAGAACTTGGGAAAATCAAGCATTGGAGTGTCATAAAATTCTCAAGGAAATAAAGTTTAACAGCAAAGGAAATTTATCGTTGCGTGGTGGGAGTGCGTGGCAGAGATGGCCCCTCATATACCAGTGTTAAAAGGTGGGTCAAGGGGACCAAGGGTGGGCAAGAGAACCTTGACGATGACCCCCCCTGTTAGGGACCCCCTGTGACGGCCTTCAGATGTAACTGAAAAGGAAGCTGTATCCGAGTTGAGGGCTGGATTATGGCGGAGCAGTATACCAAGTTCACTGAAATAAGCTTTTCACGCGTAAACATTGTAACCATCACCCGTGAACATCTAGGAGTGTCTAAGGTTCCCCGAAATCTTCGCCCACAGGTTCAACACTAAGGGATGGCCTCAATCGTGCGCTGTTTGAACTGTATGAAGCCGATCCACCTAACTGTCCTTCCCATCTCGTGACGGAAGATAAGACCTGGATTCTTTACTGGGAACTAGCAAGATCATGGGTTTAGGGCCTTTATTCTTTGGGATGCCAGACAAGTGACTACTTTTCTGACCTAATGCGAAAAATGTATGACGTCATCAGGAAGAGACTACTGGGAGCGCGGACTGGAGGTGTACTGCTCCCCCACTACACAGTACGGCACCATGACGTACAGATGTCTGTTTACGATTGTATTTCTCGCAGTTCAAGTGACAGTTACAGCACCTCTATATATGCATAGTAAACAACTCAATATACTACTCAATAACACCTTAATCACAGCAGGTCCAAAGGTCAATTATCTGTTCTCCATTATGCAGACGTAAGTGTTGTGACAATTTGCTGGCTTCCTGCCCTAGAGACGACAGTCCAACATTGGTCTTAAGTGAGGACACAGTACCTCACCGTGGGAGCTCAGAGCTATTGCTTCCCTTGACCATTATATATATATATATATATATATATATATATATATATATATATATATATATATATATATATATATATATATATATATATATATATATATATATATATATAAAAGGGTCAGTGAACTCGACCAATAAATATATTGTTAAGGGTTGAAAATTTTCCCGGCATCATTTGTCTTCTAAAACGAGTGTATATGTCAACAATACTCCCCACATCTCCCGGGATGGGTCCTCCCTGACCAAGATGTCTTCTTTAGCGCTAGTAATTGACAGCCGTAAAACTCTACATCAGACACCACTCCTGCTAATGAAATCTCCCTTTTTTCCTACCACTTTACAAACTGTCTGTTTTTCCCTATAATTTCCGCTTACTTTCTCAGTTGATTTCGTACGTTTTATATGAAAAGACACCCATTACGAGCACAGGGTATATAGTCGGTGATTTAGCAGTATAACTCACCTGGAAACTTAAGCTATCTAACGAAAGTAATTATCACCACAATATATAAACTGTGATGGTAACACTGCTCTGTATGTGATGGTAACACTGCTCTGTATGTGATGGTAACACTGCTCTGTATGTGATGGTAACACTGCTCTGTATACTGGGTAAACAGGAGAAGTTTTTGTGGTTCAGTAGACTTTTCCGGTCTGGTGAAGTGTTCTCTCGGCTGTCTGGTCTGGGTACATATCTCCTAAGTCTTCCTGCTGTCTCTGGTTGTCTGGTTATGTTTCTTGTACTTTTTCTTCATCCACTTTGTATTTTACTCTGAGTCCCCAAAATGTAACCAAAAAGGAGTATAGGATTGTGTTCAGTCTGTCTGTGTCTGTACTCATGTCGTATGCTCAAGTTTCCTGTTATCGTCCATTACACGGAAATCATAAAAGAAAGATTAAAACTTGGTAAAAGTTTAGAGGATGACAATAATACGATCGCCGGAAGATCACTCCCCCCCCCGCCCCCTCCCTAGCTGTTTTCACCCAAATGCTAACCTAACTTAACCTAGTCTAACCTAAACTAAGCTAACCTAAGCTAGTTTATCGTGTGCTTGACAACCTGTATGACCAGTGTGTTGGGGGGGGGCTCTGCTTAAATTCAGATTTATAAGGGCAAGGAGGACGTAATATTGAGGGAAAAGGCAAAACTCTCTTTGATATTTACGGCTCGAATCTATATAAAAAAGAGACTTGAAACCAAACATTTCCTGGTCAGTTAGCAACACATCTGCATGTTTATCACGTTTGATTCGATGCTCTTCATTTTTTCGTGTTCCCCAGAAAAATCACTGTGGACCCCTGGCTGGGGCTCCCTGGGCTAATCAATATCCCTGCAAACTGATCCACTAGCCGATTAACGTCCACCTCCCTAATCACTGCTGGATAGATTGAGCCAACGGTGCTAAATTACTTATCCAATGTTGCTTCCAGCCCCTGTAATCGATTCCGGAGCTTCCTGCTTGTCATGTGGGTACGATAAGTCCCTGCTTGTGACGTGGGTACCATAACTTCCTGCTTGTGAGGTAGGTACGTTAACTTCCAGCTTGTGACGTGGGTACCATAACTTCCTGCTTGTGAGGTAGGTACGTTAACTTCCAGCTTGTGACGTGGGTACCATAACTTCCTGCTTGTGAGGTAGGTACGTTAACTTCCAGCTTGTGATGTGGGTAGGATAACTTCTAAACCAGTGACCAAGTAAGTGCTGCTGAAAGAGGAAAAAACAATAATAATATCACGAAATTGTGTACAGAAGATTGTATTATATATGAAAACTTTGACTCACGTGTTATTCATTTCAGACTACATAATGTGTGTCATTTATATGCAACACACTAAAGAGGATCACCTGATTATTAGCACCTCAACTTATTTCACCTGATGATTGAAAACCCTTACGTTACCTGGAGGGGTTAAGTAAGGTTAGTATTGATGGCGATGATTCAAGACATGTCATTGAATAGAATAAATTCACCTGCACAAAATATGAGAATATTTTGTTCTGATCAAGTAAGGAATGCATAACATGTCCTACGTACTCTGGAGTTTAGATGTGAGGCAACATTTAAAGGTTTTCCGTGAAGCCGTGGATCAATTTTTCAGAAATGTCAGAGAAGATAAAGGTCAGTCCTCTGAGGTAAGGCTTAAACCCAGCGAATAACTGGATTTTAAAGATGGATTAAAAGCCCTAATAATCCTCTTAAAAGTCATCATTCGCTTTATTTGGTCACACACACACACACACACACACACACACACACACATATACACACTAAACTGTGTCGGGATATTATTTGCTGATACAATTCCCCAACATTTTAAAATTCCGTCTTTGGCAAAAGTTGGCCTCCAGCGTCCATACTGAATATTAATTCATATACAAAATTATTTATAACAACTGCAAAACAAAATTTGTGAATTATATGAATTTGCTTTTGCGGAGACCACACACACACACACACACACACACACACACACACACACACACACACACTCACACACTAACTAAAGGAAAACACGGCCTTTGAGCCATTATTTCTTAGGCGCCTTGGGGGTTGAAATCTGGGAAACTTATTACTTCCAAGAAGGATGCAGTGGTTAAGTGGAAACAGTCCTTACATCCTATCTAAACGTTCGTTGGTTCATGTTTAGACTACTCACAGTTCACCCAAGTACAAATAGGTAGCTACTGTATTCCACAGTTTGGTGGTCGAGTGTAATGCTTGCTACTTGTTAACATTTACCAAGTTCTTCATTTTTATTATATATCTATTTGCTTATTTCTATATACACTTACGACTGTCACACAGTAACACTAGTTTGAGCGTGTGCGTGTGTGTGTTTGCTATAACTTCTCAGTGTTACATATTCTTTCAGAAGCGGTCTCCTTGCATGGTTACGTACGATGTGGCAATCAACTAAGAAGAAAATGAAAGACAAGGAGAAGAAGGGGAGCTCTAGTGATAAAGGGGGAAGGAAGGAACGGAATTCAGGGACAACAACGAAAATGATACTTGATAAAAGATGAAATGGTGATAGAGAAGAAGACGTGGTAAGACGGTATAGGAAATCTTAAATAAAATATGATGTCGAGTGGAGCCAGGCCGGGATTACTGTCATAACACCCCCGCTGAACTACTGCTAGTGATCGTATTATCCTGGATGGAGTATGCGAATATCTTATGCCTTCTACGTGTAGGATTACGAGAAGAGGATGAGAGGGTGTGGGAAGAGATGAAAGGGAATGGTTAAGACCGGGAAAAGAGAGTGGCTTAGGAGGGAAAACGTAGAGAAGAAGAGTAATTTTAAAAAGGAAAATAATTAATAAGACAAAAATTAAAAACAAATAATGAGACAAAACATAAACAAGAAAAAGGCAGGAAGGAAAATACGATAAACATATAAATTGAGGAAAAAAATACACTGGCAAAAGAAAAACAACAATCTTTGGTAAACAACATGACAGGCTGGTTTAGTAGAGATGGCGTGTGTTATTTGTCGGAAGTGTTTACTAAAAATATTTGGGGGTGTTTGTTTTCTAGTAGTATTTGGTGTCATGAATATCCACCCCCCCCCCCAGAGACATCTTCCACAGTACATAAGTCACTCTAGCTCTCACACTTTACTCACCACTCATCCCTCCCACCACCACTTCACCTCACCCACACCCTCCCACCACTCCCCCACCTCACCCACCACTCCCCACCTCCCACCACTTCCCCACCTCACCCACCACCTCCTACCTCACCCACCACTTCCACCTCCTCTCCCCACCATTTCCACCTCTCCACCACTTCCCCACCTCTCTCCACCTCCACCCCCACCTCTCCCCACCACCCCCACCTCTCCCACCACCCCACCCACCCACCACCCCACCCACCCACCCTCCCCCACCTCACCCACCACCCCCCACCTCTCCCCACCACTTCCCCACCCACCACCCCCACCTCCCACCACTCCCACCTCCCACCACCCCACCACCCACCACTCCCCACACCTCACCCCACCACTCCCCACCACCCACCACTCCCTCCACCACTCTCCCCACCACTCTCCCCACCCCCACCCTCCCCACCACCCCCACCTCTCCCACCACTCCCCACCTCCCCACCACCCCCCACCTCCCCCCACCACCTCCCACCTCCCACCACCTCTCCCACCTCACCCACCCACCACCCCCACCTCCCAACTCTCCCATCACCTCTCCCCCCACCACCTCTCCCACTCTCCTCATCACCTCTCCCCCAACTCTCCCATCACCTCTCCCACTGTTGTGCCCTCTTTGTTTACAAATCTATCAATCACTTGCTTGACAATAATTACTTCCAGTTCCGGAATAATCAGAGATACAACTTAAGGCACCCAGAGCTATTAAGACCACCCCCCATGCGCTCCTCTCAGTCCCAGACCTCCATAAAATATCATGGTGTGAAGGTGTGGAACAACTTACCCCCACCCATCCGAGCAAAGACTACGCTCCCTTCCTTTCAATTATCTCTAAAAAAATATCTATTGTCTAAGTATTAATATTTCTTGTAACACTTACTATATTTACAGTACCTGCTTTTATTGTACCACCAAATCCGTTTTATCGGAAATTATCATGTAAATAAATAAGTAATTACCATTGCAATAAACATAATTGCCAACAAGACAATCCTGAAAGCTCTGTCCTCTTGTTCAACCTTATTACTGCACAACCCAGGTTGTACTGCTCCCCCATTATACTTATGTTTTTAAATTCCACTCTAATTTATATGTATATGTGTATGTGTATGTATGTTTGTGTATATATATATATAAATAAATAAATAAATAAATAAATAAATAAATAAAAATAATAAATATTAAAATAAATAAATATTGAAGTGATAACCGTGGTAACATTATGAGATGTACTTATTACTACCATGCTATTGTACTATTCCAGATGATACTAAATGTTACATAATACTTCCTTGAGATAAATGTACAGTATATATCAGGTGCTTCAAAGAGATCTCAGGTTCTCAACTGGCTCAGCCATGTTAATATTGTTATTATTATCCACTCTGTATCTGTATTTTTCTGGCTAAATAAAGTGTTTCAATCAATCAACCAACCTCTCCCACCACTTCCCCACCTCTCCCACCACTTCCCCACCTCTCCCACCATTTCCTCACCTCTCCCACACCTTACCCCACATCCCGCAGTTAGGTGTAAAACGTGATGAAATTTGTAAAAAAAAAACAAGAATCGAAATGTTACTAATTTCCTCCGTAAGTTCAGGTGCGCCGCCATTTTAGTATAATATGGCAATGTCTCATTATTGATTACGGTTGTAATTACACCTGTCTGAGGCTGGCATCACCACCTGTTAATTGGTAATGAATTTGCATACATATGGCGGTCAGATTACACTGGCGGCGCCGTATCCCTCGATATTAATGTGCATGATTGGGTGGACTGTGTATGTGTGGATAGGAAAGTAAATCTGTGTTTGTTTATGTGTGTTTGGTTTTAGCTGGAGCTGTAGTGGGTATGGGGAAATTAGTGGTTGTAGAGAGGGAGCGAGGAGAGGGATCGTGTGTCGTGGAGAGTGGTCGTGTAGTGTGGAGGGGTCGTGGGGTGTAGAGAGGGGTCGTGGGGTGTAGAGAGGGGCGGGGAGGGTCAGTAGGGTGGAGGGGTCGTGGGGTATGCAGAGGGGTCGTGGGGTGTGGAGAGGGGTCGTGGGAATAGGAACCATTTAAATTCAGTGAGACAACAGGCAAGAGAGGTTCAGTAATCCCCGTTCCTACCATCTAATACACCTATAAACAGAATTAACCCAGAAGCCTCCACACACGCCCAAATACGCCCACACGCGCCCACACCAGTGACCCTCTCCAGCAGAGCACACATGGCCTCCTCCCTAGAGATATAAAGGGGCCCATGGTGACGTGATAGGATATTCCTAGGCATGGGGTAGGCACTGAGTAGACTTGGTCAGGCAGCTAGCAGTCTGGATAAAGCCATGAGCCAGGGAGAAGCTTCCATGGATACTATCACTATAATGTGTGTTTGTGTGTGTGTGTGTGTGTGCGCGCACTTACTGAAGAAGACATTTACTGGCACTGAACATGAGACAAAATAAAAACGTTATCACTTTTCTGGCGACTTGAGTTTGTATGATGTTTATTTTCCCAAACAGATAAAAAGCAAGAATGTTTTATCAAGATTCTCAGAGAAAGAAGGAAGGAGATAAAATGAGAATAGTAGGCATAAATGGAAAACGGATAATGGGAGGAAGGAGTGATGGAGAAGAAAAAAATAGGGAAGAGAGAAGGATGGAATAGAGGAAAACAAAGGAATCAGGGATGGGGTGAGGAGAAAGGGATGTGAAGGACAAATGGAAAGTGAAGAAAGGGAAGGAGAAGGCTTAGGAACGAGAGAGGGAAATAAAGGGATAATTAAATAAAGACGTGGCAGAGGCCGTAGAGGAGAAATAAGAAAGAGGGGGGAAAGGGGAGGGGGGGGGGGGGGCAGGCCGGCATGGAGGGAGAGAGGAATGGGGGCAAGCAGGTGGGAGGAAGGCACTGATGCACTCCATGATGAAAGGATCGAGGCAAACAGGGAGGCATGTATGATTACAGGCAGGGAGGGAGTTAGGGAAGGTTGCAAGGGAGGGTAGGAGCTAGAGTGTTATAGACGGAGGGAGACAAGAATGCAGGGAGCCAGGGTGAGAGGGAGGGTGGGATCTCCTATCACCATCTCCTGGGTGTGTTGGGTCTCCACAAAGGCGGCTGCGACACTCGTCTGGGGACCGCTCGTAAACTAACCCTCGTATAAGCTCATAAACCCTACGGAGTCTACCATCCTATTATCAGGGTTTATCGAGCGTGAAGGCTAACTTCTGTTTCCTCTTCTTATCGTTATTGAGATTTTTTTCCTTTTTATCTAGTTTTTTCCCCTTTATCATCTGTCTATTTCCATGTAACTGTTTTTTTTCCTTATTTTCATTTTCATCTTCCGTTTTTTCGTCACCATAATCATTTGACGGTTCAGGGTGTGCGGTGCTGAGGACTAATAGCCGTCCATCAACAGATTCATGTACAAATTTCGCATTACATTTCATAAGCTCGTTTCTGTTTTATGTACCATATGTGGCTGTCTAATGTAGCTACCTTTATTATTATTATATTATTATTATTATTATTATTATTATTATTATTATTATTAATTATTATTATTATTATTATTGTTTTTGTTGTTATTATTATTATTGTTATTGTTGTTACAAGTGTTACTGCAAATATTACTGTTGTTGGTAATGGAGGAGGAGGAGGTGGTGGTGGTGGTGGTAATGGAGGAGGAGAGGGTGGTGGTGGTGGTGGCGGTGGTAATGGAGGAGGAGAACAGAACAGTCAGTCAGCACAGCACCCAACTTATGTTTTCCTGTTGGATATATATTCTCCTTTACATTGTTCATGAGGCGATGACACTGGAAATGTGGTGTGTGGTGTATTTATTTAACGTCATATCTCCCGTTGTTCTAAATAGTGCAAAAAACCACTGCCCCCAGGAGTCCTACAGGGACAGTGCCTACTGGGGCCCTCCCATTTGCCCAATTAGGTGCAGTGCCCGCAGGGGTCCTCCTAGCCGTATCGGCGCCCCCAGGAGCGGCAGAGTCCACAGGGGCCCTCTCAGTAGCGTCGGCAACCCAAGAAGCTGCCACGAACCCAGGCGCCATCCCAGGGTCGGCGCCGACCTCAGAGGCCCTCTCAGGGGCGTATGCGACCCCAGGGGCACTCCCAGTGGCCCTTTTAGGGGCGTAGGCACACACAGGGGCTCTCCTAGGGTCTCCAGCGACCCCAGAGGCCCTCTCAGGGTTGGCCGTGATCCCAGCAACCATATAAGAGGCGGCGGCGATCCAGGGGCCATCCCAGGGGCACCGGCGACTTCAAGGGCCCTTTCAGCGGCAGTGGTGACCCCAGGGATTTACCCAGGGACGGCAGTTCCCCCAGGGGCCCCTCTCAGGAGTTGTGGCGCATTGAGGAACCCTCCTAACGTCAACGGCGCCCCCAGGGATTCTCCCATAAGAAACGGCGCTTCGAGGGACCCGCTCAGGGATTCTCTCAAGAGCAGTCGCGTCCCCAGGGGCCTACCAGAGGCGCCCTCTACCAGGAGCCCTGCAGCTTGTTTGGTCGAGGTCCCTGGTGCACTCC